TTCCATATATTGCTAGTAAACAAACAAAGGATGTATTTTGAATCAAAGATCTGGAACTCTTCCTGTGAGGACATAGAGAAGATCAATAAAATTATCATGCAGCTTCATGCTGCCTATCGCCACCAGTATAAACTTGAATGGAAATGCACTCCATGAAGTAGTTGCTAAAAAAAATTTAAAGCTCAGCTACATGAAATCAAGCTGGATGTCAGCCAGGTAATTGCTGTCAGGTAAGCTGCTTCCTAGAATTTCCAGTGATTAAGAAAAGGAAGATAATATGACATGACATGATATTTGAGAGAGGAGAGCTGGTGCAGCTGGTTCAGAGTTAGAGGAAGAACCCTTAAAACAAAACTACAGTTCAGTTTAACAGAATATTTGTTCTTTACTCATGTGCCCCTTATAGACCACTGCAACACGGTGGTGAATGTGTTGGCAGAAGGCTTTGGAGTTGTTCACATGAACTATTTGTTCGAAGGCCAGCTAGATCAGTGGTTCTCAAACTTTTATGGGCCAGTGCATCCCTATCCATTATCCAGGTCCCATTAAGCCCCCCCTTAATCATTGTCCAATGTCAATCCAAATAGATAACACCAAAATGTCCCATGCTCCTGAAAGGAGAATGGATGCAACAAGAACTTTTCAGAAACACTGAGATGAAGGGTTATGATTCAAACAGCTGCAGCTTTACTGTTGCAGACCAGTTATATTATATATAACATACCAAAGCAGAGTGCCTATCGTATTTCTCCTAGCTAAAAATGATGACGTGTGTGTTGTAGTGCCAAAGCCATGATGTTACATTTGAACATTGATGGAACAGGATGCAGGTTTGCTTTTGCCAAACTAACACCCCCTGTAGAATGACCCGTAAATACAGAACTTTGTCTTTTGGCTCAGCTCTCTCTTCAACATAATAAACAGGTGCAGTCAGTGTCTGCACTATGGCAGCAGCCGCCCACACTATAAAATCAAGGTACGGGACGTCCCCAAGTACAGCTAAGCTTAGATCTCCCCCTGGAGCCAGGCCCAGGGTTTGGGTTAGGGCCAAGCCTAAAGGCCATCCACTAGTGGGCCCTCGCCCTGCAGAGGGGAACCATGAGGGACCAGTGCTAAGAGGATTGTGCTGCAGTTAGACGCAATGGCCTCTGCAACCTCATCTACAGACAAATAAAAAAATATATATTTCACCTTAAGTAATCTACATAGAAATATGTTTGACAAGCAAAAGATTAGATTAAATCAGTTAAAACTGAACTCTTACAATACATTTCTAAAGCTAAGAGAGGTTTTACATTTGATTGATACCAAAAAGGGAGAAAACAATTCTTGTTGCTTCTTAGGCTGGAGAAAAATACACCATTAGCAGCATTATATAGCTGAAAGCCCTGTTCAGATCTGCACCTGTGAAACCTTCTTCCAAGATCTTTATCAATTCAGACATTCTAAAGAAACTTGTGTCAATGGGGTTTGAACTTCTCTGTACGTCCATTTCACCCACTGAACTATAGTTATTCATCTATAACAATGTAAACTTGGTTTTGCATTCTATGACCCCTTTAACAACATGCTGAGGTGTTTGATGCAACCCCTTGCTGTGCTTTAAAACTTTTATAATCTCTATCTAAAAGTCAAGTTCTTACACATAAAATATTTATCAAGAACTGTATATTTTTTTTATTTTTCAGTTACAGTAGTATGTTTCCATCAATAAATGTGTACTTTCTTTTTCCTTTTCCTTATAATAATAGTAAATCATTTAACTTTATTGGTGGTATCAGCCCTCCTCTACGCTGTCGTCTGCTGGGCCTCTGGCAGCGCAGAGCTGGACAAAAGAGCTCTGGAAAGGCCGCTTCTGTCTTGAGCTGTGCCCTGGACTCAGTGGAGGAAGTGGCTGAGAAGAGGGTTCTGTCCAAGATTACATCCACCATTGACAACACCTTCCACCCTCTGCAAGAGTCTGTAGAGGAGCTGAGCAACTATACAGGTGCTGGTCATAAAATTAGAATATCATGAAAAAGTAGATTGATTTCAGTAATTCCATTTAAAAAGTGAAACTTGTATATTATATTCTTACATTACATACAAACTCATATATTTCAGATGTTTATTTTGTTTAATTTTGATGATTACAAATGACAACAAATGAAAATCTCAAATTCATCATATCAGAAAATTAGAATATTACTGAAGACCAATAAAAACAAAGGATTTATAGAAATGTTGGCCAACTGAAAAGTATGAACATGAAAAGTATGAGCATGTACAGCACTCAGTATTTAGTTGGGCCTCCTTTGGCCTGTATTACTGCAGCAATGCGGCGTGGCATGGAGTCGATCAGTCTGTGGCACTGCTCAGGTGTTATGATAGCCCAGGTTGCTCTAATAGTGGCTTTTAGCTCTTCTGAATTGTTGGGTCTGGTGTATTGCATCTTCTTCTTCACAATACCCCATAGATTTTCTATGGGGTTAAGGTCAGGAGAGTTTGCTGGCCAATTAAGAACAGGGATACCATGGTCCTTCAACCAGGTACTGGTAGCTTTGGCACTGTGTGCAGGTGCCAAGTCCTGTTGGAAAATGAAATCTGCATCTCCAAAAAGTTGGTCAGCTGCAGGAAGCATGAAGTGCTCTAAAACTTCCTGGTATGTGGCTGCGTTGACCCTGGACCTCAGAAAACACAATGGACCAACACCAGCAGATGACATGGCACCCCAAACCATCACTGACTGTGGAAACTTTACACTGGACTTCAAGCAACGTGGATGAAGTGCCTCTCTTCTTTTCCTCCAGACTCTGGGACCTTGATTTCCAAAGGAAATGCAAAATTTACTTTCATCAGAGAACATGACTTTGGACCACTCACCAGCAGTCCAGTCCTGTTTCTCTTTAGCCCAGGCAAGACGCTTCTGACGCTGTCTGTGGTTCAAGAGTGGCTTGACACAAGGAATGCGACAGCAGAAACCCATGTCTTTCATACGTCTGTGTGTGGTGGTTCTTGAAGCACTCACTCCAGCTGCAGTCCACTCTTTGTGAATCTCCCCCACATTTTTGAATGGGTTTTGTTTCACAATCCTCTCCAGGGTGCAGTTATCTCTCTTGCTTGTACACTTTTTTCGACCACATCTTTTCCTTCCCTTCGCCTCTCTATTAATGTGCTTGGACACTGAGCTCTGTGAACAGCCAGCCTCTTTAGCGATGACCTTTTGTGTCTTGCCCTCCTTGTGCAAGGTGTCGATGGTCGTCTTTTGGACAACTGTCAAGTCAGCAGTCTTCCCCATGATTGTGTAGCCTATAGAACTAGACTGAAAGACCATTTAAAGGCTTTTGCAGGTGGTTTGAGTTAATTAGCTGATTAGAGTGTGGCACCAGGGGCCATCAATTTTGAACCTTTTCACAATATTCTAATTTTCTGATATGATGAATTTGAGATTTTCATTTGTTGTCATTTGTAATCATCAAAATTAAACAAAATAAACATCTGAAATATATGAGTTTGTATGTAATGTATGAATATAATATACAAGTTTCACTTTTTAAATGGAATTACTGAAATCAATCCACTTTTTCATGATATTCTAATTTTATGACCAGCACCTGTACAACCCTTCTGTAAAAAGAAGCGCTACCCGGGTCATTCATCCCAGCTGCAACCAGAAGCTGCAATGCTACACAACAACAGGAAAAACTTGTGCTAATGTGCTATTTAGCATTTGATACCCCATACAATAAAGGGCTGCTCAGTGGTGCAGTGGGTAGCACTGCTGCCTTGCAACAAGAAGGTCTCTCTTCCTGAGATGCGTAGGTTCTCTCTGGGTACTCTAGCTTCCTCCCACAGCCGAAAAACATGACATGTTTAGTTAACTGGTTTCCCTAAATTCTCCTTAGGTGCATGTGAATGGGTTTGAAACCCAGTGCAATAACTATAAACATCCATCAATATAAATACTCTGCATAATGATCCTACTATGGAAAAAAAACAGTCAGATGTGCATGCTCCCTGGGTGCTGCACAATGGCAGCCCACTGCTCCCCAAGGAGATGGGTTAAATGAAGAGATAAATTTCTCCACTGTGAGATTGATTGATTGATTGAAGAAGAATGTACCAAATGAATAAAAAGTTGCATGGGATATAAACAGTATATAGTGTGCATCCACATCTGACACCTTTTTTTTCCATAGTAGGATCATTTTGCAGGGTATTTAAAAGTTCAGCCTTGAAAAATAGTTTTAAAAAATATAAAAACATTAACATAAACATATGACTGTAAATTTACAGTTCTAATTTTTTTATATATATAATGATAAAATATAATAAATATTATAAAATACAATACAATAACCCAATGGCTAATGGCTTAACTTCTTCAACCCATTGAATAGCTAATAATATTGCAATCATTTCTCCTGTCTAAACTGAAAGTCCATCACTTATTCTTTTCTTAATTTTAACATTGAATTCTGGTATTGTGTAATGTGTAGTTACGCCATTGGGGTATGTATGGAAGCAAATCGTTACCATATTTCATATGAAAAGGCATTTTCAGAAATGCTTTTTCATTTTAAGAATGTGGCTCTATTGTTTGACTCATAAATGAAATTAGTAATCAATAATCCTGTTTGTATTTTAATTTTCTTCTTCAAGACTGCTCATCCTTTTACTTAATTAAAATGAAAAAGACATTTGAGATTTCTTTTTCAAAATGTACCCCAGCAAATAGATACCAAAATTCAATTTGAAATGTAAAATGTGCAGTCTTAAAGAAGAAAATGCAAATGCAAATAGGATGATTGATTACTAATTTCATTTATGAATCAAACAATGCAGCCATATTCTTAAAATGAAAAACCATTTTTGAAAATGCCTTTTAATTTGAAATATGGTAACGATTTGCTTCTATAATTGGGCTATGCCTCTGAATTTAAAGTCACGAGACATGCTGGCGCGGTTGCCAGGCAGCGGGCAGTGGGCGGAGCCAGAGAACACAGATGCTCTGGAAGGAGCGGCGGCAGGGAGGCGGAGCTCCCAACGTCTTTCAGGCTGCCAGACAGAAGAAGCGACGTGGGGCAGAACTTCTCCGACGACGGCCGAAACATAAACAGCACCAGCTGTCCGATACCGAAGCTTCTCGCCGCGTCTCGGTAGTCGGTCGTGGGAAAGAAAAAAAATGTCCACGGTAAACTGGAAGCCTTTCGTTTTCGGCGGGCTTGCTTCTGTGACGGCGGAATGCGGTGAGTGGGTGAGGGATGTGTGGGCAGGCCGTGCTTTTAGCGTTCTTTTTTATTGTTTATTTTCGTTTATTTCATGCTGTGTGTTGCAGGTACTTTTCCCATCGACCTGGCCAAGACGCGTCTGCAGGTCCAGGGCCAGGTGGGGGACATCAAGTACCGTGAGATCCGCTACAGAGGCATGCTCCACGCTCTCATGAGGATAGGAAGAGAGGAGGGGCTCCGAGCGCTTTACTCAGGGTCAGTGGGTTCATTTATTTATTGCACGTTTTCACTGGAAGCAAAATAAAAGTGTAAAATATGTTTTATACACACAATTATCTCCCACTTCCTGTTCCATAAACTATTTTTTTCCTGCATTCTTGTGTTTTCATTAAAGTGCATTTTATTCTAACTCCATTATTCAATGCAAGGAATGCAATACTACATTTTTACTGAAATAAATGCTCATTTTTGCAGCATTGCTCCCGCCATGCTACGTCAGGCCTCCTATGGGACCATTAAAATTGGCACATACCAGAGTTTTAAGAGGCTGTTTGTTGACAGACCAGAAGGTGAGGTTTCAGTTGCTGCTGTCCTTCTCTCACACACACTTGCATGAATGTGCATTCCTGTTGAAGGTCACAGCTATGAGTGTGACCTCTTCAAACACGCCTCCTCTTTAGGTCGATGCATCATGAAATCAGCAGCACCTGGAAGTTAAAGCTGTTTCTCAGCAGAATCAAGTTGATCAACTGTTAATATATTGATTCTCTTCCAGATGAGACCTTGTTGACTAATGTGCTGTGCGGCATTCTGTCTGGAGTCATTTCCTCCTCCATTGCAAACCCCACTGATGTGTTGAAGGTATGAGATTTCTATATAATTGAGGTTGTGTCTGATCTTGTTTACTGTTATAGAGGCAACAGACCGAGTCTGACAAGTTTTTGTGGCCTGCCGAGAAGTGTGGCAAAATATTTCCTTGAAAAACCACGGTCCATGTGAGAAACCCTGGGAGGTGTGGCTTTTACTCCACTCTGTATAATTCATAGCCCTCAGTAAACCTTATTAACCTTGCCTTTTATCTCTTTAAAATAAAAGTATTTTTTCATGGCTGACTCAAGTGAGAATAAAGAAACGTTTAAGTAGGTGCTTAGGTCTGATGAGATCAGAAATGTTGGTATATGGTAAAACTGATCCGGACAACATCGTGCCAGCTGTGAAACATGTTGGTGGCTCCATCATACTGTGTTGAATGCATTTTCTTTATCGGATTTTTTTCTTGCGTTTTTCTGTGTGTTTGGAGTTTGCATCACACACGTTTTTGCGGCTCGTTTCGTCATTCACTGCACGTTTGCACCTGTTTGCCACCGTACAAACCTGATTTAAATGCTCCTTTGCCACCAGCAAGTGCCGTGGAAGCATATTAATCACAGCTTGTTTTAGTTAAGTATATGGCAGAAAGAAAGCACCCAAAACTTATGACAGTAGAACCTGCAAATGCAGGAAGTGCTGGTTTAGGTCACCTGTCTGAAACTTTAGTCCTCCATGCTTGTTTCCACCAGAATGAAATGAGAAGCTTTCTAGTTCTTTAGGCCTCTGTTAACAGCCCAAATACCTACTCTCAGGGTTCCCGCGGGTCCTTAAAGAGTCTTAAAAGGCATGGAATTCTTCAAAATAAAATTAAGGCCTTAATTGGTTTTAAAACGTCTTAAATCAGTCTTTCGTAGGTCTTAATTTATAATAAAACATCATAAATAGGATCATTTTTATTCCGATTTAATTTTGTAATCTAAACAAAACCTTAAAATTGACAATTTTTTTTTTTATATTTAAAAAAATAACGGCTCACGATTATTGGTTCCGTCCCAATAGCGGAACCAATAAAAGCTTTGTTGCGGCCGGGACATTTGGGAGATGCGCCATTTACTTTTTGTCTGGAAAATATGAGCAAGTGTAAATGTAACAAAAATTGTCTATCCAGCCAAGAGTTTTCTCCATGGCTAAAACCAGAGAACATACATGAGGCTCAGTGGATTTTGTGCAAGAATTCATTCAAGCTCGGAACGATGGGAATTAAAGGAATAGTACACCCAAAACATGATTAGCCTTCATTTTCTACTCACCCCCATGCTGAACAAAACTCTGGAGTACGTTTTTGATATCTCAAATGCATCTGGAGATCTGGGAGGGTTCTTGCTGTCTGCTGACATTCAAATAATGGAGGTCTATGGCGCCCGAGACAGACAGGTCCACAAAAGTCCACAAAAACGTGTCAATATTCCTCCATACTGCTCGTCCAATGTATTCCAAGTGTCCTGAGTGGGTAGCATCCAGAATTTACTCGAAACGAAGTCATTTAGAACGTTTTAGAGCCTAAACAGTAGTGTATAGGATTTCCTAATAGCGCCCCCATGCGCGCTCACGATTCTACGGAAGCCGGCAGACCAAACCAGCGCATTCAGCTCGGCAAAGAACTCATGCTCTTCCTCAACACTGAAGTCCTCAGACATTTTTCTTTCGTTGTTTCTTTCTTTGCACAGGTAAACAGCACATTTCTTCTTCTACGCTTGCATTATCGGCAGAGCAGACGCTGAATGCGCACTTTCTTCCGGTTTGGTCTGCCGGCTTCCGTAGAATCGTGAGCGCGCATGGGGGCGCTATTAGGAAATCCTATACACTACTGTTTAGGCTCTAAAATGTTCTAAATGACTTCGTTTCGAGTAAATTCTGGATGCTACCCACTCAGGACACTTGGATTACATTGGACGAGCAGTATGGAGGAATATTGACACGTTTTTGTGGACTTTTGTGGACCTTTCTGTCTCGGGCACCATAGACCTCCATTATTTGAATGTCAGCAGACAGCAAGAAGCCTCCCAGATCTCCAGATGCTTATGAGATATCAAAAAAGTACTCCAGAGTGTTGTTCAGCATGGGGGTGAGTAGAAAATGAAGGCTAATCATGTTTTGGGTGTACTATTCCTTTAAGGCAGTGGAGTCACATGCGAAGAACGAAACACAAATTGTCAGAATCGAGTTACCGAGAAACAGCCGGTATTTCTCAGTTTTGTTCCACCCTTGTCTCTGCAACGCCTCCACTTATCACCAAATCAAACATACTAAGAAAACTATACAAAGAAAATAGCTCCAAAAAACACTTGTGGCTTTAAAACGGATTTGTTTTGTTCCCTGCTAAAACAAAGTTTGTGAATTCAGTTAAATAATTGTTAAAATATATCTGTCATTTGTGTGTTTTTAGCTTTCTTCCTGTATGGGAAGCTTTTCAAAATTGGAAACATTAGTGCAGTGGTTTATGTTAAAATAAACATTTGGGTTAAGTTGTCGCAAGCAGGTTTTTCTTGTGAATTTGGTCTTAAATTTTTATTTCAAGTGGCATTAAAAAGTCTTAAAAAGTCTTGAATTTAACTTGCCTTATGCTGTAGGAACCCTATACCCTTGAAACCTAACATAAAAGAAATCTAATGTAGGGGAATGGCATAGTCAAAGTCCAGATAGGAATTTGTTACGTAGTCTTTGGTCATACTTACATGCATGCAGACATTCCTAATCTAATCTGACTAATCTGGTGCTATTTAACAACCATTGCATAAAATCCCAAGGTTGGCTCTTTGTGACCAAGAGATATAAATACTTTTGGAAGGCAGCGTTGTAGAGCGAAAGTCAAGCCCAGGCCATCCCGACCTCACACCTGGTTTATTTATAGACCGACCCTTAAAGGTCTCGGTGTTCTGTAAATGATAGCAGCTGGTGAATGCCAATGCTTATCTACACTCTCTGAGCTCTTTGGGGCAGTGACCTCCTGTCTGCAGTCAGTGTTTATAGGATTAACACCGACGCGTGCAGCTGCAGGTTTGGAACATCGTGTTTTATGAGGGTGTGTCCCTGTCAAATCTTCAAGGAGGAAAGGAATGAACTCGTGGTGTTCATCATACCTGTAGTGTAAATATGGTCCGACGGAGAGGATATGTGGGTGATGAACATTTAGACTGTTGTCGTATTTGATGCCTTATCTCTGTCTTCTATTAGATCCGGATGCAAGCTCAGGGGAATGTGATTCAGGGCAGCATGATGGGAAACTTCATCAATATCTACCAGGAGGAGGGCACAAGAGGATTGTGGAAGGTAAAAAGAACAAAGATTGATCTGTCAATCTAGGTGAATTTCAGATGTCAGACCTTCGGCTGGTAAACATTCCTTCTGTGTTTGTGTCAGGGTGTTTCTCTAACGGCTCAGAGAGCCGCCATCGTGGTCGGGGTTGAGCTCCCCGTCTACGATATCACCAAGAAGCACCTGATCCTGTCTGGCTACATGGGGGACACCGTTTACACACACTTCCTGTGAGTTTGACCTGCTTAATAGAGTTCTTCTGTTCTCTAATGAATTGTGGTAATTCTTGTAAATTCCAGAGTTCTTTGGGGTATTTCTGTTTTGTTTGAAACATTTAAAGTTGTAGGAAATTGACATTTAAATGTCAAACGATTCTGGCTTAAACATGTATATAAATGTACTCTTTATCAGACCATATTGTCCCAAAAGTTTTTTTTTTTTTTTAAATCTTAAAATCTGTGGGGGTTTTTTGTTCTTCTTTGTCATCTTAATTTGCGTTATAAAATTTTTTTCGGTCGCAGCTAATATACGCAACGGTTGAAATAAGAAATAAGAATCATTTACTTTCCCATTGAGTTCCGTCCCAGTGTTCACAGGGATGGACGTCTGTGTCTTCGGCAGGCGTAGAGCTAACAGAACTGGCAGCGTTGCGAGGCAAGGGCTCAAACATGTACGGCTGTAAGCCTTCTACACCAAAGCAAGCTTCTGCCGCCCTGGCGTCCTCTTCCACAACATCTTCGTCCCCGCTTTCCTCCTCTAAATAAAAAATTTATGACGGAGGAGACTGATCCACAACCTCCGACACAAAGCTCTCCTCCTCTTGCATGTTTCCACTTTCCATAGCGTTCCTTGACAGTGTCGTTGCTAAGTGCTACTTGGTCCCAATGGAATTTCCCATTGGGACCAAGTAGCACTAAGTTGCTAACTAGTTAGCAAGATGCTTCTGACAAACCGGCCACAATCAAACTTGCTTGCAAACCTTCCGCCATAACAATCCCGCCTCCTTGATAAACGACCAATCACATTCACTTTATTCAGTCGTGTAAATTCGGCTCCGATCAGGAGAACTCGGAACTGCAAAGGTTGAAACAGCCGCTTCCATACAACTTTGTTTTTAAACTATGCATCAATTCCTTTTACTCTTAAATGGGTCCTGTTCCAGCTTCAATCCAGGCTGTTTACTGCATTTTATTGGGATTTTATCTGAAAGAACAACAAAAAATGTTGGCTAAATCTAAAGTGGATTTAAAAGGATGCTGGGATTTTTAAGAAGCAGGCAGTTCTAAGTTTGTGGATCATTAAATATTTACTAAGCTCTCTTCATACAGCATTTGAAAACTGGTAGAGAATAGAACAATGGCTAACCTACTGGGACATGAGACAAGGGGAGCGTCAATCAAAGAACTGAGGGGCTCAGATGAACGAATCTGCACACTCCCAGTTAACACTTGGTTCAGCTCTGCAGACTTCTCCAGCCTCCTAAATTTACCTTTAGCACACTCTGCTGCGGTGTGAAGCCAGCAGGAGCTCCTAGGAGCACGAGCAGATCACACATTAAAAGCCCACGAGTTAGTCAACTGTCAGACCAAAAGAACAACTCCTCTCATAGATTCTAAAATGGTTCAGTTTTTCATTTTTTTTTTTTAAAGATATTGAAAAATGGGAGACTACACTGAGTGCACTGTAGCTATATTTACAGTTTAATGTTCATCTGTTGAGTTTTATTACCTTCGTAATTATATATTAGGAGTGGAACGGTTCACAAATCCACGGTTTGGTTCACGGTTTCGTGGTCACGGTTTTCGTTGTTGATTGTTAGCCTGATATGTTGGTCATGTTGCTGTTAGCATAAACAAAACGTGTTGCGCAATGCTTGCACACTGTTTTTATCCACAACTTTCTTTCCGCCGTCATCGTAGGTCACTCTAAATGCAAAGTGGTCCCATACAGCAGACCTATAAAGTGCTGCTGGCGCATCTTCCAACTCCTGTTCTTTTCCACTCGCCATACCCACACAATTCTCCACAACAACTGATTTTTTTTCTGCTATACCCGGATACGCTGCTTCGCTTCTTCTTCTTCTTCTTGTTTACTACTGGTGGTTGGCTTTGGTCGCAGTACCGCCACCTTCTGCTCTGGAGTGTACGCGCTTCACCGATGAGAAAAAGGAGCAGCACATGAACCGAACGCAACACACGCGAATCGAACCGAACGGTTCGGATGGTTTTCATAAACCGTTCCATCCCTATTATATATGTAGGCAAGCAACTGATCTAATGGTTGAAAATATCTACATATATCACAGTGTGTTTGTATAAGTTCAAATATATTCTCAAATGCCTCAATATTGCAGGTGTTTAAGCAAAGAAAGCTAAAGCTGGTAAACTAAACAGTTGGCGAGATGGAATCTCTGAGTATTTATTTTGGACTTGCTGCAGTGTCTGCTGAAAATTGAATCCAATTTTGCCGGCGTCATGTCCGCTTGCTGATGCCCTGCTCCACCTTAGACACCGTATAAACACTATCATTTATTCTAATTGCTGCTTATAGTTGTGCAAATCTAGATTGAATAAAACATTGAAAGTTCTGTTTATGATCCATTAAAAGTAATGTAAGACACAGAACTGTGGAATGAGGCACTCTGGACAGATGTGATGAAAATGAAACCGCTTGCCAGAATGCAAAATGCTATATCTGGGATAAAACTGTACATTTAAAACGCTTCCAAGCTAATCCTGGGTTTATAACATTAATGTAGATTTGACTTGTCATTATATTGTAAGGAAAGGTTAAAAGGTTTGTATTAAGTACCAATCATCTGCATTTGATCAGCAGTGATGTGTTCAGTTCTGCAGCTTTAATTTAAATTTTTTTTTTTAGATCAGATTTTCAGGTGCTGAAGCTCTAACCAACACCATGATGTCACTAAAAAAAGTCTTTGTTGTCCTTTAGGTCCAGCTTCGTGTGTGGCCTTGCTGGAGCTTTGGCCTCGAATCCAGTAGATGTGGTCCGGACGCGCATGATGAACCAGAGGGGCGGGGCTCTCTATCAAGGAACTCTGGACTGCCTGCTGCAGGTCGGTCAGAGATTTGCACCTGGTTTACGTCCCACTCAGTTTGTATTTCAGTAGAAGGGCACACATCATCACTAAACAAACTAGTTTAGCTAGAAGAGACGCTGACTACAGTCAGATTTTATCTGGAACGCCTTCCAACGTTTGATATATCAAATGTACGTCCAAATATCCTATAAAAACTCTGTAGCTAGCACTTAGTTACCTTTCATTTCCACTTTGGCGAGGGGGGAAAAAACTGAACCACAGTAGGGAAGGAACAGCTTTTATCTGGAGATAGAGATGGGCTCCTAAAGGCTAACAACTAATCAAATGTTAACATTATTATAAAGTTCTTTAATATTGATTAAAAAGCTGTTAGTTCTGGAAGGAAACAAGCCCTTCTATCTTCTAGTGTTTATTTTCGTTCCTTGTGCCACATACTATAAGTAGGTCAGTCTTCCGCCTCAAGAAGTGCTGTTTTCTTTTTTTTTTAAACAAAGGAGGTCTTTATATAGCGAGATTCGATCCCAGTTACAATGTTTAGAATCAAACATTTAAAAGATGGAAAGTCAGTAGGAGCTCATTACATACAGTTTATTCTGTCAAGTTAAGAACTGGTTTTAGAATCTGCATAGAACTGAATCTGTTTCAGTGGAAAAACCCGAACGGTGGCCTAGAATCTTTGGGAGGTTTATGTTTAACAGGCAGATCAACCAGTAAAACAAAAAACAAACTGGACCAGGTATTTGGGCCACACGTGTCTTTTTTCTAAAGGGTGGTTGCAGTCCACCTTTTAAGAGCGACGTGTTTAACGAGTCTGTTTTATCTGGATGCACTGCAGGTTTTATCCACCCATCAGTTTACAGAGGTGGTCTGTTAATCTGATCTGAAGTTGGTGCTAAATCAGCTCAGTAAAATGCATTATGATAAGAGAATATTTTCAGGCTCGAACTGAAAGAAAGCTGTCGTCCCTTCATCTTGTATGGTGCATTCTGCTGCTTCAGGCAGTTTTAGTAGCTGAACATAACTCTAGCTCCGTCACTACTGATGAACACATTGCTGCTGGCAACAAGGAAATATTAACTGCTTTTTTACTTTTATATATTTGCATTCAAACACATTTGAATGACATTTTAGATTTAAACAGTACATTCTGTTGGTGGTATCTGTGTAATCCACTGCACTCTGAGGAAAATATGATGTTGGAGCAGCTGTTTTGTCATGACATGGAGAATACTTGAAAAAGAACAACTAATATAAAGCTGATCATCTTCAGTCTAGGGCTGAAACAACTAATCAGATTAATCGTGATTAAAATTGAAAAAATCGTCAACTAATTTAATAATTGATTAATTGTTAACTGGAGTATAGAAACTCTAAAACATGCCTTTTGTTTACAGAGAAACCCACTTAGAGCAGTAATTATAATAAAATAATTTTGCATTTAAGATTAAAAAAAATAAATCGTGTATTAGTAGGCTCTATCCTGGTTTAATTTTGCAAAAAAATCTTTTTTTCAGGAACCTTTCACTATGTGATTATTATTATTTGATTACCGTATTTTCACGACCATAAGGCGCACCGTACTAAAAGGTGCAGTCTCAGTTATGTGTGTCATTACTGTATTTAACACACACATAAGGCGCACCAGACTATAGGGCGCGGGTTTTATATACAGGTACATGTCCTCTACTACGTTTAAATACCTCTACTGCGTATTTAAAAATAGAGCGGGAGCAAAACTGAGTATGATTGTGCTTTATTCATGTATTTATACAAAGTATTAATCAAACCCATCAAAGTCATCATCCTCTGTTTCTGAATTAAACAGCTGCGCTAAATCAGACATGCTAATTTCCCCTTCTTCGCTCTCAGGGTCACTTTCCGTGCCGTGCGGCTCGTCGGAAATAATGCTGGCTTTTGCGAAAGCTCGAACAACAGTGCCAGCACATACGTTAGCCCAAGCATCTACAATCCATCCGCAAACTGTGGCGTAACTTGCCCGGCGCTGCCTTCCACTTTTCGTTAAGGCTAAGGGTGCTCCGATTGATCGGTCACCGATCGTTATCGGCCGATAAAGGCTTTAAATAGCTTGATCGGCGGTCTCCATAAAGGCCACCGGTGCCGTCGTCCGTTTTGTTGTGGTGAGGCACGTTTGGAAGCGACTAGCACCGAGCCCCCAGAGAAAGTACCACGAGCTGGCTCCTTACACGCTATGTATGCTGAGTTGTTGGATGAAGACAGGGAACATGGTGGCGGTGACATCAGCAGCTCAACATCATCACAGCTGAACCTCTACCTATCAGAGCCAGTCATCCCACGGAGCGGACAGCCGCTTTTTTTTTTGCCGAGACAATAAAAGTCGTTTCCCCGCTCTCGCACAAGCAGCACAAGCCTACCTCTGTGCTCCATGCACAAGTGTAGATAGTGAGCGACTTTTTAGCACAGCAGGGAATATTGTAGATGAGAAGAGGAACAAGCTGTCTGCCAAAAATGCAGAGATGCTTATATTTCTAAAGAAAAATCTGCCATTGATGCTTAACAAGTAAGCTTTAAGAGAAATGGCTTTACTAATCTCTATTCCTCTTCTTTCTTTCTCATTGACTCATGATTTCCATGCTGTGCACTTTAAATGTATGTAGATTTAAAGGAGCTAAAAGAACATTTAAAGTTAGCATTTGTTTGAAATTTACAAAACTTTATTACTACTGAAAAATGTCTGCAGTGATTAAAAGGACATTTTAGATTTTGAGCTAGGACAAAAAGCCAAAAAAATTACTGATATATAATATTGGCTTCTATTTTCAGTTAATTACCGCAGGACAAGCCTAAAATACATACCTTATGCCTTTTTATCATGGCATCCCAAAATATTTGATTTTGTTTTCTTTGCTCTGCACTTTAAGTTTAAGTACACTTTAAGTTTGTGTAAATTAACAATGACAGATTTTTTGTATCTTATTTAGAAATAAGGCTTATTTGTTAAGCTCTAAGCTGTTTAAGATGTCTCTAAGGAAGTAAAATGTTGAACGTTTCCTGTCAATAAAAGTATACAGTTGACAATTCACAATACATTATCTTCAGTTAATTTTAATACATATACATTTTTTTGGTAAGACTATTAAAACTGAATATATGACATGATAAATAGAAGGCTTCAGATAGACCCAGTGATCGGTATCAACCAATACTGCTTTCAGCAATCGGTGATTGGCCCCAAAAATCCTGATCGGAGCACCCTTACTCGCAGCCTTACTTTGAACGGCCGGTTCACACCGATGTCGAGCGGTTGAAGTTCCTTTGTCAGACCTCCCGGATAACAGCAAGCACAGCGTTCATTTGTTTCACCTTTTTTTCACATCGGCTGTGAGATGGGCACGCATGGAGTCACAGATTAACAGCGATGGTGATGCGTGGAAAAAAACCACCTGGTTTCCTTACATACACCTCCCTCAGCCACTCTTTCATAATCTCCTCATCCATCCAGCCCTTTTCATTTGCCTTAATAACGACTCCAGCTGGAAAAGTCTCTTTAGGCAAAGTGTTTCTCTTAAAAATCACCATAGGCGGCAGTTTCTTTCCATTTGCGTGGCAGCCAAGCACAACAGTAAACGACGCACACTTCCACCTTTAACGTTCTCATTCTCATGGTCTCAACAACGTCCACAGTAACGACACACATAGGGCGCGCCACACATTTTGAGGGAAAAAAAAGATGTTTATATAAGCTTAAAAGTCGCGAAAGTACGGTAATAAAAAAAAAATCTACAGATTAATCGATTTGCAAAATATTCGTTAGTTGCAGCCCTACTTTATTCAGTATCTTTAAAGGTTAAACAGAACATCATATCATCAGCAAGAATGTATGATAATCTGAAAGGTACGTTTGGGTTAATCTGATATTCTAAAAGCTAGTTTGAATCCAAATCTTTAACCGTATTTGTTTTAAACGTCTCTTCAGCCATGATGCTGGCTTCAGAGGATGAGCCCCTTACAGACGCACGATTTGTGGCTGTGAAGGCTGTTTAAAATGTTTTACTCTTGAGCATTGAGAAATAGCTTTGACTTCACCAGATGCTTCCTCGGATTATAAATATTAAGACATTTTACATGTGGGAAGATAATATTGTCCACTGCTCTAATGCAATCAACAAAAAAAAAGGAGTTACAGGGGAGAAAGGCCAGCTTTGAGGGAGCAACATCATCAGATAACTGGTGAATGCCAAAAAAGAAGCTGAAGTTTGTATGCTTGACTCTGGCCTTGGATTAGGGTAATTGGCTTTATTTATAAAAGCAGAGCCACCTTTCTGAGCTCTTTCTTTTAGCCATGCTTGCTATGCTGAGTACCTTTGGTTGCTGACATCATCGCGCTCCACTGTTCAATGCAAAAAAATTTGGTACCTATAGGCACGTTGAAGCATGACATCACATGCATGAGACCCGGCCCCAAATTTTGCTGCTGGAGGCTAAAAATCCTTGTTTTGTAGCGGTAAAGTTACCAAGTTCATGCTCTAAATCTTCTATTTATGCATGATTTAATACATTTTTTTAAGTCTACCATTTTGGACTGAAGGCTTCTATAACAGACTAACATTATAACTAATTGAAATACCAAAAATATACAGCTTGCATCTAATATTGTCACACAGATTTATATAAATATCAAATCCTCTCACCCTGCTTTGCATGCGCGGTGGGCAGACGCCACATAGCCTTTTATTTTGTCCATGCGGACCTAGTGATGCCCTTTCTTGTTGATCATTTTCTGCGATGGCACACCGCAGTCATGCGATCATCTGTGTGATATAGCGTTCGCCCCACATGTCCAGACACAAAGATGTTATATCTTTCTAATGACTTAAGCGCATTCATTGACATTGAATTGACACATTAATTGAGCTGAAACTCTACTAAAAATTTGATTATTCCAAAAACATTATTTGATTTTCCCAACATATTTTAAGGTTTGTAGTTTGTATCATCAGGTGTCCCTAAACTTGGTGTAAAGAAATAAATGCTCAGTGCTGTGATCAGAGGAGTATCATTTGGTTAAATTAAGGGTCAACTTTTCTTTTTTTTTTCTAACAGACATGGCGGTCAGAGGGGTTCATGGCGCTCTACAAGGGTTTCTTTCCAAACTGGCTGCGCCTGGGACCATGGAACATCATCGTATCCTTTCAGCCATCAGCTGGCTGCTGCTCTGGCTTTGCACGACCTCTGAGATGAAAGTTATTCCTGGATTTGGCAGGTTTTAAAGTACTGCATTCAGAAACTTTCTGATCGTAAATATTAATTTAATTCTAGCTGAAATAACTGCTTTTCTGAGCAAATACAGCATTCCATCTAAAACAGGAATGTTTTGACATTAGGTCACACTCCTTGGGTCTAAAAAAGTAATGTGGGGTTTAACTTATAATGGGGTGACAAACATCTGAAGTGAAAAAGCTCAATTTTCTTCTACTTTTCATACTTTCCTTCACTCCATCTTCAGTTCTTCCTCACTTATGAGCAGCTGAAAAAGCTCAACGTGTGACTGAATGTAAATGAGAAGAAGAAAAGAGCTTTCACTCGGAGGCGAGGGGGACCAAAATCAGGAATGTCTGGAATTATGGTGGATCCTTGAGGAAAAAGCAGCAGGGAAGCCGAGAGGAGTACGCAGAAGGAATCCGATCCCTGCGCCGCTCCAGGCTCTGCGTCTGCTAAAAAGCCTGCAGGAAATGTGAAAAGGACTGTTACACGAATAATCCCATGGCTTCTCGCTCTCATCCGGATGCCACTTTAAGGCGTCACACCGCCACGTTTCTGCTCAGACTCAAACCAACTGCTTTATAAACTGTGAAATTGTTCAATTCTGGAAAGAGACTGCAATATTTTGCATTTCATTCTGAGGCTGCTGCTCGTGAAACGCCTCTATTAATGAAGGTGAAGGGGGAAAATGCATGCAGCCTGTTTTTATTTAAAGCTTATTCACTCAAAGTGCTCTGTAAAATGTGTGCCTTAAAGCCCTTTGTGTTCCAGGCTGTGAAAACTTGAGCAGCATGTGGACTCCGACTGTTGGACAGCCGCTGTGACAATCGGCATCATTCCCCTTTTGAAAAAAAAAATGTTTGATATAATGGATTTTATATCTATATTCCCAAAAAGGAGATCTTGTGTACGGAAAGTTTTGAGTTACTTGGCTTCCGTTGTGTGTATACAGTGTAAAGAGCCGCGAATAGAAGCTGGTGAATCATCAGTTCTATACGGGCCTCATCACGTGCATGAGCAGTAAATATATTTATATCCTCTAGCTGCCTGGTGATGCCTCAGTTACCTTTCAGCTGTCGCCTCAACTCATCACGTACGCAGACGATAATGTAAACTTGTATACATTTCACAAACATCATGGTTGGCTTGACAGGAACGAGTCGGGCATCTCCTATTACTGCGTCACTAAAGCAACCGTTCAGTGCTGTTATTCTTTTGTACTGTATTTGCTCGCTTTTAGCTTTCATTGGAAAGAAATCGAGTACATTGAAGTTGCTTCTGCCAAAATGTATGCCAGTGTCATTTTGTAATACTACCTATGTTTATTTAAACACAGCTGCAGACTTGTTTATTTCCAAATAAAGAGTGACTTAAAATACTTTGCTATTTTCTTTACATCCATCTTTGGGTTTTTTCATTGCATGTCTGAGCAACATAAGGGACAAACTCACCAGATATCTGAATACTTCTTGTTTTCCGGCAACTGCAGTGGCAATTTTGTTGATTTCAGGATTGTGTTTAAGTGGAATTTATATTCTTTTTGCCTGTCCTTTCAGAGTATTTTAAAGAGATTTGCTACACTTGGTGGAAACTATTTTAAGCCTATATTTCTTTTCATATTTATGACTTTAGGTTACAAAAATTTAAATTGAGGAAAATAGAATATCACATTTGAGAAGTGGTCTGCAACATGCGGCTCTTTAGACACTCAACAATGACTCTTCCAACACTTAAAAAAAAACATATGGTTTTAAATGTAGGTTAGTGTGTCCTGGTTAGGATATTTTCCATTAAATTAGTCTATTTATTCAACTGAATTAACATTAAAGAAATAACTTTTTTTTTATCTTTCTTAAATGGGAAAATGTTTTTCTTTAAACAAGTTTCTAAAAACCACAGCAACCCAGTGGGAATTAATTATTCCATTCATTTTAAAACCTAAAAGTTGAAATGAAAGAGTGATTAATTAAAAAGGGGATGCATTTCTTTTGCTCTATTTAAAAAAAAAAAAAAAAGTCACATAATGTTATCAGCTGCAAATGACCTTTTAATAGCTGGACTGAATATAAATAATGGATCTGTTGATTGCGAAGTTTGTTGACCCCCGCATTAGGCCAATCAAAAATTAAGCTTTTTTTTTTTGTGAGAGGTGTTTTTTTATTTATCTTTTGCTCTTGATAGCCACCATTGTGTCATCTGCCTTGTTGGGTCTGATGTCTCTCACAATAGGCCAATGATTCTCTTTGGGTTCTAGCTTACGGCTGATTACCAGACCAATCAAGAACAGGAACACAATGGTTACTAAACTTGTTCCAGTTCTGCCAGAAAATCTAATCAGGATCTCCATACAGCTTGTGAGCGCAGGGGAGCATGGAGTTCTTTAGATGTGGCGTTAAATCACTGGAAATTTCACACTGGAAATCCAACAACATGGATTCAAAACTTCTCTGCTCTTCCTCAAGGAGAAACACTGACATACAATCATGCATTTAGAGATGCTAATTAACCTAACAGCCATATTTTTGGACTGTGGGAGGAAGCTGGAGTACCTGGAGAGAACAAAAACATGCTAACTTGATGCAGACTCAATTGAATCTGGAACCTTCTTGCTGCAAAGCAACAGTGCTTCTAACTGAGCCGCCATGCAGTCTGACTCTGGGGCCTTGATTTCCAAATGAAATGCAGAATTTCCTTTCATTTAAATAAACGTAATACTTTGGCTTATTAAGTAAGTCCAGCTTATTTTCTCGTTTGCCCGGGTAAGGCACTTCTCACATCTTGTAATCTGCTGTAGGTTGGCTCTTGATGGAGCCCTTAGTCCTCTCCTTTTAAAGCTCCTCAATACTCTGACATTAAATTGATTTGATAGTCTGCTAAGGTTCCTGTTACAATGTCTTTTTTCCTTCTTTTCCTTTCTTCCTTCCACTCAAGTTTATGTTTTTGTGCTTTGATATTGACCTCCATTAAAAGATGTTAGTTGTAGCTGCCCAGTGTTACTTTGTCAGTTTCATTTAAATATTTATTTAAATGTCCTGCAAAAATTTAAATCTCTAAGTAAGTCATTTTTCTTAAAGCAACTGCATTTTTTTTCGTAATTGAGCAGGTAACTGACACACTTTGCCAATTGAATTAGACAATTTACATTTAAAAATAAAAACACCTGTACATGCAGGTGGTTAGTGCACATGACCAATGTCCTCGACATGGCCCACCCGGGTTCGAATCTGGCCTTTGGTCCTTTGCCACATGTCTCTCCCTCATACCCCCTTCCCTGTCAGCCTTCTGTCAGACAAAAGAGCCACTAGTGCCACAAAAAAAATAACAACTGCAGTCTTTTATTTCAGGTGCATACAATCTGTCTAATTTTAAGGGTGAAAATAATCATTCTATTAGCAGATCATCTCATTTACCTGCTGAAGTTAAGGGTAAATACATTTATTTTAAGAATTTTACTCATTTATAGGTTATTTTTGCAGCGTACAGCTGTTTAAAAAAAGAAACTTGTAAACAAAAACATTGCTGCCTGTTTGACTTTACAGTCACCACAGTGTGGCGCTGTGGGGCCACACGCCTCCATGACTCGACCCAGATGTTATGAACACCAGGAGCTGTTTGAAGCTTTCCATATTCCCAGCGCTCAACTTTGAGGCCACAAATCTAGCACAGTTGTGTTTCAGAGGGGATTGCTTTTTCTTTTTTTTTTCTGCAGTTTTCTTCAATCCCCTTCATATTTCATGTAGCAAAGCTCAAACATTAATTTTTCAGGGAAATTCAAGATGTAATTGTTTTCATTCTATGACTTAATTCCCGGTTTTCCTTCATGTGAGGAGATGATGAGGAGATCCAGGTTGCTGAGCAGAAGATGTTACTGAGATCTCTTTTATTTAGAGTGGTGGGGGGGTGTCAGCTTGGGATTTATACTTTTATCTGTGTGAGCTGTTACTGTTTTATATTTCTCATCCAAACCCCCATGGGTTCCACTACTGCTGGGGAGCAGAGACTCTCAAATCATCCACATTTAAACAAGTTTACAACTCCAGGTGAGAACTGTGTCAAATAATGGCAGAAGAACACTTCATGCAGACAATGAGGTGAGCTGAAAAAACAAGGGAATCAGAATCAAATGTGTGTGCCCAGATTGGGCATCCACAAATAGGCATTGCAGCTTTCCGCCTGGCATCCCGTCTCAGGCACAGTCCTCCACAAGCTGGACCAGTCTGTCCACAGGGGATTGCAGTAGTCAGACATCCTCCATTATGGGTGTTATTTGTTGCCTTGCCTAGGGGCACGAGGGAAATGGCTGCATTGTGTTGCAGGGATCAGAGTAAGTAAGCTTTTGTGTCTGAGGAATAAGGCTGCACTCCGCTGCAAACACCCCAGCCTTTTTATCTACTTTTGGGGGTTTTTGTTCTTTCATTTATGGAGGCTGGAGACAAAGCGGATGTGCAAACAAGGAGATAAATTTACCAGAGTTTAACTAACACTGGAGGGACTGGCTTTCGACCATATAATGCTGACATAAAGAGAAATATAGCACAGGATTCCAGCCTTTTCTTTTGCTAATTTTCTAAGTTTTTATCCAGGCTTCATTTAATTTTTCTAATTTATTAATGGCAACGATCGAGATTCATCATTTCATTTTTCTCCAAATAATTATGTTTTTCATAACGATAAAAATGTTTTAACCTAAAAAAAAAATTACCACCTTTTGTGGAGAAAAATAAAATCTTACAGTCTCTGGAAAATAGATGTTGATGTTGGCGAAACATGCAGGAGAACATCAGAACAGCCTGTTTAAAGCAACCACAACTCTGTGAGGGGAAAACGTGCAGATTTCTGCTCTTCCCTGTTTCTACAGTAAACACACCGACACCTTGCATAGCTGCTTGTGGTTTATGAGGGGGGAAAAAAGTGAGCTGAAGTGAGATATTTAGACAAGAAAGATCTGACAGAAATCAGAGCATAAGCTGCAGGAGCTCTGCAAGCTAACAAAACATTTTATATAAAAAATATATGTTTCTGATGAATGCATTAGAATTTGGACTGTAACAGACAAAAAACGAGAAATAAATACAAATTTATTAGTAAATGATGGGATTGAAACACCTATAGGAACAAGATGGATGATTAATCTGCTTCAGATGAAGCTGGTGTTATAAGTCCTTTTAATTAATTCTTATTGTGTAGGAGGTTCATTATATAGAAACATATATTAGCTAAGGACTAAAAATAAAGCCCAGCTGTGTTTCCCTGCATGCACTTATGTTTATACAGCAAACTAACTACTAACTACATTTCATTTGACATTTAAGGAAAAGATTTTAAAGACGTGTACATGATTAATTTGCTTTTTCTTGGTGCAAACCATAGAACACATTAGGTGATTATTTCACTTTTTTGATACCAAAAAGACATTGTAAAAATGTAAGTTAGAAATTCTCCCCACTTTGAGACCAGATGTGAAGTAAACTTTATTTGGTTACAGCAGTAGATGATTCTCCTGTACTTTTAGGTTCTAACTAACAACTTTTTAGAAACAGATAAAACTTCTTATTACAGTTACCTGCCCTAACTTTGCTTGATAAACCCAACTTCCACCCACCATCTATCCAAACAAACAGCCAGCCGCCCCCCCTATTCACAGAACAGTCGACCTACATTTGCTCACCATAGTGGCAGAGGACTGGGACCCCTGGGAGACAGGATCACAAGGATGAGCCGCTGGTAATGCTGCTCCATTGTTTCATTAAGATGAGAGCAGGCCAACACGGCGCATGTTGAAGGAGATAAAGTAAAGGGAGAATATTTGTTCTACAATCTGACATTCTGGATCCTTTGCCTCCGTGATCAAACAAGTCGTGTTCGTGTGGTGTGAGATGCAGATAAAAGGGAACGTGATTTACTGTTTTCTTTTAAAAAGGTTGACATTTCCCTTTATCCTTTTTTCCCAGAGATGCCTTCCCTTTCAAGGACCCGATGCAAGATAGGTTATGAAAATGTAATTCTAGTGAATGAACACCAGGAAGAGCCCAAGCGCCTTCGTTCTGCTCAAGCAGGAGAATTGAGACATTAAAATACCCCCAACCTCTACACTCCATCTCCCTCTGTGCAACCCACCCAGTCAAAGCTGCATCATTAACATCCCACCCTCTGATAAGAATTAGGCATTCAAATATTCCTTGGTATTAGTTTTCTTGGACTCCTGATTAAAAATTCCCTGCCTGCAGGCAAGAAACTACACCCACTCCCACAGAGCCCTGTGATATGTGTGTGGTTGTTTGCCGACATCCATTTATTCCAATGCTGATGTTTTCCATAGTCGGAGAGTAAAGCAGGAGAGGAGGAAGACTAGTGTGAAGAGGAGGAGGAGGGGGTACA